AGTCTATTCTAAATTCCCCATCGGCATGTCCCTTCTCAATATTTTCATTCTTCCTTAGGACTGAAGAGGAGAAACGAGACTGGATCCAGGTAGCTGTTGCTTTTTTCTCACCTGCTGCATAATTATTTTTTATTTAAAGCATTTTTATGCTGCCCCATTTGCAACAAGCCTCGGGGCAGCTTATAAAGCAAATAAACAAATATTGAATAAAGTTTAAAAATCCGGATACATCTCGGCAGAACTATAAAAACCCAATAAATAAAAACAGCAATTAACAGTTAAAATATCATTTAAATAAAAAGGTCTTGGCCTGGCGCCGAAAAACAAATAACGATGGCGCCAGGCGGACCTCTCTGGGAAGCGCATTCCATAGGTTGGGTGCCACCGCAGAGAAATTCCTCATCCGAGTACTCACCCTCATAATATCCTTCACGGAGAGTTCCCGGAGAAGGGCCTCTGCCGCCGATCTCAGGGGGCAGGAGGGCATATATGGACACAAGTGTTCCTTTAGATAGCCAGGTCCCAAGCTGTTAAGGGCTTTATAGGTGATAACCAACACCTTGAATTGGGCCTGGACTTCAATGGGAAGCCAGTGAAGCTAACGGAAGACTGAGGGTATATGAGAACAATGCCCAGTCCCTGTCAGCAGCCTGGCAGCTCTGTTTTGCACCAATTGAAGTATTCGGACTGTCTTCAAGGGCAGCTCCACATAGAGCGCGTTACAGAAGTCTAATCAGGAAGTTACTAATGCATGTGTAACTGTCGCCAGGCAATCGTTCTCCAGGGAGGGACACAGCTGATGGATCAGCCGGAGCTGGAGAAAAGCGCTCCTTGCCACCGCTGTCGCTTGAGCTTCCAACGATAGCTCTGGGTCGAGGAGCACTCCCATGCTGTGGACCCTGTCCCTAAGAGGGAGTGCAACCCCATTCAGGACAAGGTTCAGGTCCCCCATCCCAAAGCTCGACCCTCCTACTAACAGGACCTCCGTCTTGTCTGGATAGAGCTTGTTTATTGGCCCTCATCCAGCCCATTACCTCGGCCAGGCACCGGTTCAGTACAGCCACTGCCTCACCTGGATTAGTTGAAAATGAGAGGTAGAGCTGTGTATCATCAGTGTACTGATGATTCCGCAGCCCACACCTCCCGATGACCTCTCCCAGTGGTTTCATGTAGATGTTAAATAGCAAGGGGGACAAAATGGACCCCTGCGGAAC